GTCAGATGTTTTTGTTGTTCAATTATAAAAACTGTATCCAGACTAGATTATGAGAATGCTGTTTGCAGGCACCATAACCACAGATGCCCTTGGGTTGAACATCAGGCTCACTGCAATCTTCCCAAAGAAGGAAATGTACTTCCAGCTGCTGCACCAGACCCATCCTTCTTGGAGAGATGAGGAAATCACAGCAAGAGAGCCTTTTCTGAGATATCTGAAATATGCATTGGGGGAGATGGGAGGCAATGAGAAAAGTGGAAATAAACTTAACTAACTCACTTAAGTGGCCTATTCCTACAGAAATGGCCTTGATGGACAGTGAATAAAACTAGTTTGCCTAGAGGTGAGGGAGTTTTTGTCCTGAATTACTCTATATGTCCTCACCACCGATATTCACCAATACAGTCCCATTTCCTAGTTCATTTTTGTTCCTCTCATCAATACTGATGAGTCCCGAGAGAGAAAAAAAAATGCACTTGCTTTCCAGCCCAGCCTAGATTTTCTTCCTTAAGAGGTAAACTAACCAGGGGAAGATTAACATGATGTTGTTATTTGGGAAAGACACAAGATCTCATTGGATGAGTGATTTTCCAGTCAAATGAGAATCAACCCAGGTCCTGGTGACACCAGTTTCCCCCAGTCTTTCATCTGGTGGTTCTCACCCACTTGGTTTATAGCTTATTTAATTACAACAAATTTTAATAATGTCCACCATGATCCAGCAAGATATTAGCTTTGCAGATCCCCAATACCGCAATGGCTCCCTGATTGGTTTTGCTACTTGGATTCCTGTCCCACACCCACCCCTTACAATCCATTTCCACACAGCAGCCTCAGTAAGCTCTTATAAGTGTGGATCAGATCTTGTCACCGTCTTCCTTGCAGCCCTCCAGTGCCTCTACTGAATTTAGAGTACACGTGACTCCTTATGGAATCCTGTATCATCTCACCTTCGCTTTCCGGGCTGCCTTCAAATAGCTCAACTTCAGCCCACTACAATCCATCTTCTCCTCAGCTGCATCATTTGTTTTGATCTTGCTGTTCCCTCTTCCAGGAATATTCTTTCTGTGTCCCTCTTCTTGCCTGGCTTCTTTTCACCCTATGGTTCTTGGTTAAATACCATCTGCTTAGAAAGGCTATCCAGGCCCTCTTGCCTCATCTCCCCACTGTTTTTGTCAAATCACCCTATTTTCTTCATAAAATTTGTCACCTTGTCACACCATGTGGGTTTTTTGTTTTGTTTTGTTTTACCTGTGTCTCCTGCACTGGAATATAAATTCCAGGTGGGCGTAAAGCTCCTCTCTCTTATTCACCACTATACCCTCAGGGTCTACCACAGTGTCTGATTATGTAACTAAACCGCTGGATGAGTGTTTTGAGACCCCAAATCACATTACAAAGAATCACCACTTCACATTTCAAAACTGGCTTATTGTGAAATATGCAAATCTAATATTAGAAGAAGCAGTGTCCCACTGCTAATTCCCTTGACTGTTCCCAGAATGTGGTAATCAACATAAGAATCATTTCCCAAAGTAAGAGAACATCCTGGGAAACTGAAGGAGGGAAAAAAAAAATTCAGACACACCAGAAAACTCTAGGCTGCTTTCTTTTTCATTATAAGTAAGACAAGGTTCATGAGAGTAAGCATCAGTGCTTGATTCTTTAGAAGTTGAAAATTAGATCAAATGAATTGGAGGACAACTACATCTCGTGTTAATGTTTTCCTCCTCGAATGAAGAAAATGAGATGATGTGAGCCATGACTCCATTTGAAAATGAAACGTTGTATTTCTATTCGCCTCCACGTTAAAGCATACTGTTTTTCATTTTAGACTCTTCATGTTGGTAAATGTTGCAATACTTTACATTCATTAGGCTCAGGCCCATTTACAATGTGCAAGTAAGACAAGCACAGATATATTGTCCCTATAAAGCATAATTTCTAAATTACACAATAAATAAATGAGAATAAATCAGAAACTCAAGTTTTCACAAACCTTACCACAAAAGTACTAAAAACAAATAAATAAAACTTGGGTCAAAATTCCCCACTCTTAATAGGTACAATTTACAAACTATTCTTATTATGTCAAATAAACTAATCATTCAAGAATACACTGGGTATTATTAACCCCAACTCATAACAGATAAAATGCTTCAAGAATAAACCCAAACTAATCAGATTTTATCTATCTTTGCAAAGTGCAATGCATAAGAAACTTGATTTTGCTGGAACTCTGTTGATTTCTGATTAGCTGATTATAGAAGTCAGCAGCAAAGCCAAAATAAAGTAACAACTCAGTGAGATGACAGCAAGCGTCTTTAAATTTATAATTGCCCTTGGATCTATTTAATTTAGCTTTAAGTCAGGAGGCTTAATTGAGACAAATGGTTACACTGAGCAGGTATCAGATATGACAAGAAGCTGGCTGTGATTGTTTTGTTGCACTATTTCCATTTGAGGACTTTTTCTGCCAACACTTTTCCTATGATGGCTATTAAATTTTATAGGATTTTTCCCACCATTAGCTGTAATGGCATTTGCATGTTAAATGCTCACAACAAATGAAAACCACGATTCCATTGTTTCACAGGGTGAAAGCCATGGTTACTGCTATTCCAAATGGAGAACAAATCTAAAAAGAATCAAGTAATTCCTCCTGCTTGTATGATACCTATATAGGCTCTGTGGGAAAGCCTATTTACTTTGCAGCTCTTCATTTTTGAAACAAAAATAGAATAGATTTTTGCACATGTAAGAAAAGTGAAGATTCCACAATAAGCAGAAGACACCTCAAATGTTATTTTTATAATATTCTTTTACATATATATAACTTTATTTTTTTATTTATTTTTTTGTGGTGCTGAGGATCAAACCCAGGGCCTCTCGCGCGCAAGGCTAGCACTCTACCACTGAGCTACAATCCCAGCCCTTCAAATGTTATTTTTGTTTAGAGCTCTTGTTTGCAATTAAATATAATTCTCTCTTAAGTACATTTGACTAAGAGGTTATCCTTAGTGGAGCTAAATCAGAAAATTCTGATGGCATTTATGTTTGTTTTAATGACCAAAAAAATGACAGGACTCCCTAGGACTTGTGTCTCAAGCAACATCAAATTATGGAAACAGGAAAAGCAGATATTTAGAGTATCTTAGCTAATTTTCTCCTCAAAGAATTTTCAGCAACTTGCCCTGAAACTTGGGGGATTTTTTGTGCTAGATTATATTTATAAGTACTTAGATATTCACAGTCATTTAGACCTAAGAAGGATATAAGAAACTATGTGTTTGTGGTTCTAAAAACTATAAAGATATACAACTGCTTGATCCTTTTAGAGTTTTTTTTCAGTGCATTCATCATTTCTCTGATGATTATTTTCCAAGATACTGTCACCTTACCCTAGAACAGCATTTATGTTTCAAGATTGTCACCTTCTAGCCACCAAATGCCTTCAGGAACTCAGTTTTTTTGTTGTTGTTGTTGTTTGTTTGTTTTGTTTTGTTTGGGGGCAGGGGTTGTTTGAGAATGCTTCAGAAATGAAATCTCCTCTTTAAAAGAACCAACATTCAAAACATCAGACTTTTTATTTTAAATTTACCTCCCCTAAGGTGTTTTTGAACTCTTTCTCATGTTTCCCCTGTATATATTTAGACCAAAGATTTCTGATCCATAATGAGTCCCATATAAGATGATGAATTAGCTTGAAATTTGATGTAATTTCCTATTAAAAGAACATCTTTGTTAGGTAGGAGACCAGGCCCTGGCAAGGGATCACACCTTGGGGCTCTCACCTCCACCCAGGGCCCTGAGGACACTCCAACTGGAGTCCCTTCCTGTGAGGGCACGCTAGGCCATCTTGCTGTGCATGAGAAAGCTAAAGAACCACAAGGGAAATTCAAGACCAAGAAGGCAAGGTCCCCAGTCTTGGGCATGAGCAATAGCCCAAAGGCCTGAGGACTTAAGTTAACTTGTTGCTATTTAACATATCTTTAGCATTGGGGTTCGCTCCCTGTCTATGAATTTTTTAAGGGAAAAATAAACTTACACATGGGCAATAGAAAAGAAATTATGTAAAATTCAGTTATCAATCAAGGTGTCAGTTAACCCCATATCCACCCAGGGGAAAGAGGGGAGTACTAGTGCAGCCCAATAAAAGCCACCTCTGCAGTGTAGACAGGACCTTTGGATGGTTGGCAGCTGGGCCCACTCTACTTCTCTCACTTCTCCCAAAACATTACTTTGCCTTTAAAATAAACCACTGCCTTGCTCACCAACCTCTCATGTCTGGCTCAATTCTTTGCTCAGGATACCAAGAACATGGATCCAGGATGCCCTGGGACCCCTATCAGCAATGTTGGAAATTGCTCAAATAAGTATTTTGGAATTACAAGTTTTAAAGCCACTTTGTCATCTTTTCTTTCTCTACCTCTTTTTGTCCCAACCACTTAAGCATTCAGAACTCTTACTACCTGCCAAATTCAGAATCAGTTTTTGTTTGTGTTTGGTGAGGGAATCAGAAGATGAAGTTAATTCACTCATTCAATATTCTTGGTGCATTCCCCCAGCCATTTCAAAATGCAGTTTTTTATTTGTTCACTTAGTGGCCTGACTTTATCTTTCATAGCAAGGATCACCAAAAATTTGTGGTGTATCATCCATCTTTGCCCAGAGTTGTCCAAACTCTGAGAACATGGACAACTGACCATTGATCTGGTCTGGTGCATGGCTGAGAGAGGAGACAATGGTTACAAACAAGTTCCCATGCAGTGACAAACAGTTCTAAGAGGCATTTGTTTCCCTTCTCTGACTACACTTAAGCACACACTCACGCCAAGTTGAACTCAACAATCCAAAATGAAAATGCAACCATCTATGAATTTTGGTGCACAACTAATTGTGCTACTTTGGACAAATCATTTAATTTCTCTATGACTCAATTTCCACCTCTTTGGAATCACAGGTGATCTTTGTAGCCCTATGATTTTATTACTTCTGACCAGAGAAATGGGTTAAACACTTGAGATGATAATTCACTTTATTCCAGCATGAAATACATAGTACCAAGAATTTATTCCCCAGTGTTTACTCTCTCCTCATATTCTTTCTGGAAGTATCCTCTTCAAAATACTTCAGGAAGCTTGCCACAACTGTTTCTACAAGGTCAATGCAACCTATATATCCTGTTTGTAAAATGTTTTCTTTTCTTACATTGTATAAATACTCATTCTCAAATCATTTCAACTACTGTGTTACCTCAACAATTTCTGAAATAGAACAATGAATCTTTTGTTACTGTAATAGGAAGTTTCCTACAACTCTGAGTTTATCTCGAATAATGCTGCAAAAACACTGATACGACTGAAAATAGAAACTGCTTCACTGCTATTTTCATTTTATCTAATGAACAGAGAATAGCTCAGATTCAAGGAAGAAAAGGTCATAAGCTAGAATCATAAGAGGGTGCCTTGTTACAAATTTTAGAAGATGCAGTTTGGTTAGGGATGCTAAGCAGGAATGTCAAAGCTACTTAAGACATTTAAACATATTACAGTCTTTCAAACAATGAGGGTTATCTGCTATTGGGTTCCTTACAGTGTTTCACACATTAACACAGTAAGTTACAAGTAGGTATAGATATACAGAATTGCATGCTTACTAGCCAAGCCAAGACACAGAAAGTTATTGGTGTTATATGACATTGGCTGAATTGCTTCTGCAACCCCAAAAGATCATGCTGGCAACAGCATTGGTTCCAGGCATCAAATCCCCAGATATTGGTTCATTTTGTTTAAGGCATCACACACTGTGTTCAAATCACTGCGGAGGTCCTGCACCACATTTTCAATACTTCTGGTGTCTTTCAGAATTTCAATACTCTGTGTGTAGGGATTGAAGTATACTGAGAAGGGACGGGTAATTGACTTTGCAAAGTCCCTGCAGAATAAACAGAAATAGAAGGATATGTGATCAACCCCTATTGGTACAAGAGATAGATAGAAGGAAGAAACAGAGCCAGAAAAACAAAAAGTTACTTTCTATAGATGGAAGAAAAGCAAGTTTACCTCATCTTTTCTTTGGCTTCTTCAAAACTTTCTGAAACAAAGTAGGCCTCCTGGAAGGTGGTGATAAGACATTCCTGTAAGCACGTTGTCTTTGGGTCAAAGGCTTTCACACAGGCCTTGTCAGAAAGAGCATGCTGCAAAACACACCACAAAGCCCATTAAACTCCATAAAGAGTCCTCCAAAGTGCCAAGACATCACACCTCTACAGCACATTTGATGGCGCAGTAATCCTACAGAACTGCCATGAAACACAACTCTCCTATTTGCAGGGAAAATTGGCATTGTGGGGGGTGCTGGGAGAAGGGGGGGCTTGGTGGATTGATTGGTTTGCTTTGATTTTTCAAGTCTGTTAGGTGCTGAGGGGAAAAAAATGAGATCATGGTATTATTTTATTTATCATCAGCCAAATTCTTACTGAAGGACAGTTCAGAGCTATATCCCAACAGAAATGGAATTTTAAATCTATGCTATGAATAGAAGCAGGGACAGCATAAACATGCTCCTAAATTTATTGCTATAAGCAATGTACTGAAATTTCACTTAAATGGCAGAAGTAATAATTACCTACGTGCAGAGGTAATTGGGACTCTCACTGAACTATTTGTGGACTCGTTGCTAGACGTTTTGAGGCCAGACCCTGTGTATCAACAGAGACTGGAGTGGGCCTGTATGTTTGAGGATGCTTACAAAGCATTCATTTACCTTCTATCACAGACAGCACAGCAATATACAGCAGACAAATATTGCCAGTTGGGGGGAAAAAAGCTAATATTAATAGTTATACTTATGCCCAAAGCAGGCATTAGGAAAACAAGAAAGCCATTGTAATTACTCTTTGAACCATCATTAGCTCTGTTCAGTTCCCTATATGACTGGCAAGAAGATCAGCAAGAAAATAAGAATGACCGTATCCTCCAGATAAATTCAGTGATGTTGAAAATTAGTGGCCATTTCCCACCACCTGCCTATTAATAAATGGATGGTTTTAAAGTGCATTGTACCTAAATAACCTTTGAGGAGCTTGTGAAAATGCAGATACCCAGGCCTCAATTTCACTTGGTAGGTCTGATGAATTCCAGAAATATGCATTGGAAAGGCATCCAAGGTGACCCTGACATAAATGGCTGTGAAACATAGTTTGAGAAATACTTCCCTAGATTCTGTCCTCTTTTCAATTTAAGGGGTCAGTTAGTTAAGAGAGACAGGAGGGGGTTAACAGAAATTGCCTTGAACTAAGTGAGAAATCCGATGCTGTGGTGCAGGTGCTGCCTCTAACCGGGTAACCTTGGCAAATCATTTAACCTCCCAGGGCCTCCATTCCCTCTAGTGTAAATGAGAGGTTTGGGTGGATGATTCTAAAGATACTCTCTAATCCAGCCTCTGGATTTCACCCAAAGCACTTTTCTGCCTTCTTAATCTCTAACAGCTAAGATTTCCTGGAGAAATTCTGAAAATCCTTTCCTGATCAATATTCTTGGTGCATTCCCCCAGCCATTTCAAAATGCATGGAATGATTTACAGCCCTCTGTGAAGAAGGCTGTGGTTCCCTACATTTGAAAATGCAATTGAGAACCAAAGGACTGACACGTAAGAGAAGGGGCACACTGCTCTACCCTGCATGTGGTTCACTTTCCTGCAAAGTCCTGTTGTCCAGATCAATGCATATATGAATCATGGAATGCAGAGGGCCTCTCGAAGTGAACTCATTTTTTTGGCCCACAGAACAGCTTCATTATAAAGGAGAAGGTCACTACACCTGCAAATGCATTTGTGCTGGATTCAATGCCGCACAGTGAACATCAGGGGATTTTGGTTCCACATGACCAATAATTCTGTCCACATTTTAAAAACAACTTCACGGTTTCAAAAAACAAAATGTCCTTTGATGAGAGCTGTTGCTCCTCTGCAAAAGAATTGGCTTCCCATCATCTTGTCATGGTTTTCAGAATCAGAAACTACTTTCTTTGCAGCTGTACACAGTGGTTACATTTAACTGTAGTGCATTGCTGTAATTATTCATTCACCCATCCACGCACAGATGGAAGGAGGGACCCTGGCTGACTTCGTGTCCTCAGACTTTTTATCTTTGCATTCAGAGGCAGACAGAGTGGTAGCAGAACAGGTTATAAGAACATTTAAGTCATGGCTCCTTGGGACATCACCACTGAGCCAAAGACTTCTTACTGGGTCAAAGACAAGCACAAAAAGAAGTGAAACTCATCTATTCATTGGGTCTCCAATACCTCCATAGGACATTAGCACCCTCAGTTGTCACTATGTGTAGAGGGGGCTTCCATGATGCATGTGTGCACAACAGACTGAAATCAGTATGGTTCTAGAAAAAAAAATCATCAGGTAACAATATCCTATTATGACCACATTCAGTCATTTCAGCAGGTAATGGGGATTAGAATAGATCCAACAAAAGACCCAGGGTGCCCTGCATCAGACTTCGAGAAGAATCAGTGGCTTCACAGCAAATACTTTGAGGCAAAGCCTATTAGGCAACATAGATTACCCTTGTTTGATACCATATTTAAATGGAAAAACTGAAAAAATCATTGTTTTAAGCACTCAAAAAATGCCATCTATTCTTAGAAGCCTGTTGTTTGTGATATACTGGTCACTTACCAGGGACCTCCCCTGCAGTTTATGGGACCAGTGCTGTTCCTTAACTAGCAATAAATATAGGGCTAATCCTGCTACCCATGGATTAGTCTGGAAAATGACAGAAGCCTAGAGTTAAGGGAGCAGCCAATGATTAGACCAACAACTGAGGTAGTGCCCACACCTGCAAATGGTCTCTTTTACCTAAATATGAGCTCTCCTGTGTGACAGCACCCCTACCACCCACGAGATATCATGTCTCTGAATACTACCAATGACACAAGGAGTACAAGATAGAATCTGTGTCTCCCTTAATTCCAAACTCCCTTGTCCAATAGAGAGGCCCTACTGGGTTTGCTTCCTGATTCCTACCCATGTGTGTCTGTGAGCCACCTCAGTTTTGGTAAGCAGCTATTATGCCATCTCATCTACCTTCAGAGTGGGTCCTCTCTAAATACTGAGTCACACTACTTGATGCCCCTAACACTTCCTTCCTGAAGCGTTAAGCATCTAAATTCCTGAAGTCAGCAATAATCAACCCAACTTCCCCTGGAGAGAAGCTTTAGAATGCTAGCAGAATCCAGCTGACAGTCTTTTACTCTCAAGCCATTTGGAAACTGCAGGAGTGCTTGGGAGTCACCTTCTCCTCTCTGAACACTCTGCAAGGACTGTTTTTGGATTTATCTACAGTGCTAAAGACAAGGGCACAGGTCTGGAACATGTAAACCTGGATGCTATCCCACAGAAGCTAGGTGTATGATAGCAAATGAGTGAAACTACCTCAGTTTGGGCTGCACTCTCCACTTTGATAAACTGAGATGTTAGAGCTGCATGGATTCTGCAGCTCTTCTTGCAATATAATTTTAACAGGGTCTGTAAATATGCAGTACTTACACCACCTTCCAGCCAGTGTAATTGATTACAACAGCCTCTCCCACTGGGCCTGGGAATGGCCTTGCCACCCTTCCCCACATAGGTGGCCATTACCAATATAATCAGCTATAATGGACAAATTAAAGTTAATTTGTCACTCCAGACTATTAATTATAAAAAATCTCTTTTCAACATCAAAATTTCCTAAAATTTAGTTGTTAGTAGACAATATTATACAGTGATTAAGAGAATAAGTCTTTAAGATAAAGAACTGAGGTTCAAATCTGGCTCCATCCCTTCCTGCCTTTATGACTTAAGACAATTTACTTAACTTCTATAGGCCCTTTCTAGTATTCACCTGAAAAATGGGAAAACTAGTGGTGTCTATAACCCAGAGTTGTGGCCAGAATTAAATGAGGTCATGTACACAAAATGCCTACTTGGGAAGTACTCAATGTATTTAGGTATTATTGCTATTTAGTCCAAGGAAGAAGCTTGGCACACATCTATGTTCAGCCATACCTTTCACCATGTGTGCAGCCCCTCTCTCCAGGGAAGAAGCATGCCCCAGCCATGAGACTTCCAGGACCTAGTCTGTAAGAATACCAGCCCTGGGCTCGCTCATCAGACACCTGTCTTTGCAATGACTCAGAATTATTATCTCAACTATTCTAGATGTAAACCCTGTGATCCTCACTCTCTATATTAGGACTGGTTAAAGTTTGAAAAAAACTCAGGTGTGAAGTCAGGTTTATGGGTAGTTTGGGCCCTAGATTCCAAATAAGAATTCACAAACACTCCTACACTCACACCACAATCATCTTTTCCCACATCAGAACAACAAATATATGTATCTGTGCATTGTGTGTATGTGTGCATGTGGTATTTTTTGAACCCCCCTCACAGGCTCATCCTTCAAGCCAGGCACAACATGCCATCGATATCCCTATTGCAAAGGCCAATGATGCATCCAACTTATTATTTTTTTTAAATCATCAATGCTTAGGTCATACCAGTTGGAATAAGCTGCATGGACAAAAGAACAACCAACCTCCTCTTCAAGCAACCCCTTTGTGAAGGCCAGAGACAGTTTCAGCTCCCATCCTCCATCATTTGCTCCTTACAGCACTAGGAGGGAGAAGAGGAGGCAGGAGACATCTGAACAGGATTAAGGAGTAGGGGCTCAGCGGCACAGTCCCAACTCTGGCGATACCACTGACCTACTAGATGACCTCAGAGAAACTTCAAGCCTCTGGAGGCTCTTCTCCACAGCCTGGCAATAATTCTGACCACCTCCCAGAGTTGCTGGAAATAGCAGTAAATACAAATGATTGTAATAAATAGAAAGCTGTTCTGAGAATGCTGATTAATAGCTATATAAAGGCAACACAATAAATTCACTTCACAAGGGCATCCTAAAACTAAAGCCAAAAGGCAATAATAATTACATTTGCTTAAACCACCAGCCTTGTCAAAGCATGAAAAAGGAAAACAAATGTATTTATATGAAATATTCCAACAACTACTATGGGGTGGATGGTAAGACCACTTATAAAAAATAAAAATCTAATCTGCGGCCTGAAAAATATAAAGAAGTGAAAAAGAAATAGAATTGGCTCTTGCTTTTGAGATAGATTAGGTTTTTGAGATAAAACTCACAATTTATCAATTAGCATTCATTTCCTGAGCACCTAATGTGAACAAATTTCACTGCTGCTTCTAAAGAATTGGGCTGAGATCTATATCCATCCTTTTCTTACAGGATTCCTACTTGATCCCATGTTCCTTGAAATATTGGACAATCAATTTTGTTTTTGTTGAATAAAATGAATGAATGAACAAGCAAATAAGAGATGAAAAATGATGCCTAGATTTATAGAGTTAGATCAACTCTAGGATATAGAGAAAAAGAGTGTGAAATAAAGGATACAAGCTAGATTGTGAGTAAATGGCAATCAATTATCCAATTTTCAACCTGTTTTTCAAAGTCAGCTTTTGAGACGACTTAATTCATGATTAACTGCTCTCTGCAGTGATGGAAGGTATGGAAAAGTCCCACCCTGACACACTTTTGGAGTGCCTGCCACAGATCAGATCTGTACAACACAGAGATGGAGGGGCAGGGAATAGTAGTTATGGTTATCAGATTTTTTTTTTTTAGCTCTTAAAAGATTTTCCATGTTTGTTTCATTTCTGTCTTTAAAGATAAAAAAATAAGACTTGTCCAAAAAATGAGAGAAAAATGAATGTTATCCCCCAAACTACAGAGGTAACACTTGGAAATATTTGGTCAGCTCTGAAGAGCACCATCTACGCCTCAGGGAAATTTTGGAAGTGTTACAGCACAAATTTTGGAAGTGTTCTGTTCTGGGACCAAAGGTGAGTACTTATGAGAAAGACTATGCCAAACCTCAAACAACTTAGCAGGATCCTACATTTGGGCAACAGTTGGCACAGCATAAAATATTTACTGCAAGAGGCATTCAAAACTGTAAGCATGTTTATACAGGAATTATGATAATACTTTTCATAAAGTTATCCCTATATTGGATCCAGAACCATCATTTATCCATTCAAATAAAAAAAAAATCAAAGTATTGAGAAGAGCTCTAAGAGGGCTCTGGGCATTTACAGAAGCTAGGCAGAGAGAGGGTGCTAAGGAAAGCATCTCATGTTATGCATTCTCTGTGAACAAGCAGAAGATATTCTTAGAGAAAGAATTTCTGAATTGTAAAAGTGGTCTGAAGTAGCAATCATAAGGATGTTCCAGTGATGAAATTTGAGAATGGAAGAATGCTAACGACTAGAGGTGATGGACCAGAACGACTAGATGCATGGCGGACAATGCCCTTTGGTGTATGTATTTCTGGCTGATTTCCATTCCCAGACAATTCTGTCCACATCAATAGGAGCAAAAACAACAGATTCACCTCAGAGCTGCCTGCACATGCCTCATTAACCAGACCAGAAGACCCTGTCAAAAGTAGGGGGCCACGAGAGAGATTTGTTTCTTTTGTTTCTGGTATAATTTATAAACCATCTGAGGAGAATGTAAATAGGTCTTGAGCTGCATCATTTTCTCACTAACACTTTTTGCAGAGAAATCAAAAAACACCCTGTAAAAGACATGAGCTTATGGAGAGATATAATATCATCCTATTGACTGGGGTTTGGGGGGGCCAGTGTGCTGAAATTAACCCCAAATGGATTTTTCATTAAAATTTGATCTTTAAAAAAATTACTTCAAGTGTTTATTGTTGTAATTGTTGTTGTTGTTGTTATGTGTGTGTGTGTTAATGTTGACCATTATCCTCTATTCCAGTCATGCTGAGCCTCAGTTCCCCAACTGGGCCAGGCTTAGACCAGCGTCCAGGGCACACATTCTATTGTCCACTGTTTGATCTGTGCACATCGTCCTTTCCTTACTCACCCTTCCCATCCCTCAAGAATCAGCTTGGGTAGCAGGGTCCTTGTCAGGAAGCTCCCTCAGGCATGGCCTAAAATGTACCAGGCACATTTGTCACCTTTTTTTATTATCCGGTTTGTGGGTTATCTCTGGCACTAGAAGTCGACCCCCGAATAGCCAGGGTCCCAGGCAGCATAGCCTGGTGGTTAAGAGCTCAGTTCTTGGGGGCCTTGACGGTCTGCATTTGAGTCCAGCTTCAACACTTACTAGCTATGTGACCTTAGACAAATCCCTTAATGTCTTTATGCCTCAGTTTTCTCATTTGCAGTTTTCTCATCTGTGATAATAACACCACCTGTCTCACTGGGTTATTATGAGGATCAAGTGGATTAATATGGCTAAAGTACCCAAAACACTAAGGTCTATTTAAGGGTTTATTAAGGTTGTTGTGCTATTTTCTTCCTATTCTTCTTCTCCATCATTATTATTTGTCTTTTCATCCCAAGTGTCTGACACAGTACAAGGTACATTGTAAGTGCTCAATCAAGCTTTTGAAGAATTAATGAAGGAATGGAGTCATGGAATGAGCAAACTTGGTAAAACTGCAGTGAAACTGCATCTTTTAAGAATACAACCAACTGAGGCTGGGGTTGTAGCTCAGTGGGAGAGCACTTACCCAGCATGTGTGAGGCATTGGGTTCAATTCTTAGCACCATATATAAATAAGTAAAATAAAGGTCCCTCAACAACTAAAAGATAATAATAATACAACCAACCAAAAAGTTCCAATAATAATATATTTTCCCAACTATATTATGTAAGAATAACCAATCTCAAAATAAAAACCCTAGGATAGTACATAACCTGATCTTGGTCTAAATAATCAAAGTAATATTGAATTAATTTCTAGCACCATTTCCAGATTGTATATAATATTACATTCTAAATTCATCAAAACTTGCTATCCCCCAGTGATGCATAGATAGCAATTCTTAAATTACCAAACTATTAATATCAGAATGCCCCAAGCCCCATAATTTCTGAATAAATGATCATTTTACTATATTTTAAGGCAAAAAATAGCATTCTCTAGGCATCTCTAACATATATTAGACTCCTCTTTGACAATATCCTTAGTTTTTTTTCAAATTGTATGTACACAAGTGTTTTAATATCCATTAATTTTGAATTAATGTACATAAAAGAAACTGAAATAACCTAAAACCCCCTTTAGAAAGAAGATGATGGGGAGTCTATGGGAACAATGGAGGTGACAGAAATCAGTGTAGCCAAGCCACCCTCACAAGTGAATTTCAATCAGTAGGATCACTGCTAGGTCATTGCCCACTTTTCAGCACTAAATTTAGGCCAGCCATTTGTTACCAAACACTTGAGGATACATTTATCCTTCCTGTTGATTTGTACACATAGCTGTTCATCCATTTGAGTCACACCAGAAACCCAGAAAGGCATGACCCACTTTCAGAAGTGCAAAAAGTTAGGTCAGCACCCACATCTGAGGTGCCAAATCCTCTATATTAAATATGTATGGGGTATCTGTGAGTAGAAATGCTCAGACAAACAAATCAATATTTTCCATGACCTTGAACCAGTTTGCTTGGGAAGGATATTTTCATTCACAGCTTCATACCTGTAATTCTCCAATGGAGGAAAGCAGTCCTGCTCCATATGCCCGCAGTTGCCCTTCTTGCTTGCAAAGGCCAAACTCAATTGTGAAGAAATAGCACTGGAAAAAAAAAAAATAGACACACATCCAGTGAATTGGTCAACAAGTTCCTCAGTAGAATAAAATGGCACCCAAAGTAAACTGGTTGCACTGTACATAATTTCTTCAATGTTATCAACTTAAAAACATTTAAAACAACATTTATTGAAATCTACTCTCTTGTTTAATGCATAATCCTTCCATAAATTTAAATTATATGGGTAAAGTATTAAGATACTTCATACTTCCTAGATTCAGAAACCCCATAGGTCAAATCCTATCCTATGCAATAATTTTAAAAATAAAAGCACAGATTTAGAAATAAATTACTATCACAGTGATAACACCATAAGAAAATGTCACTATATTTACCAACCTGAATTCCAATGACATAAAAAAGTTCATGCAAATGTGGAAAAAATTGCTTGGAATCCAATCATCTCAAACTGATTTTTGTAATGTGTTTATTCATTCAACAAACTTATTGAATACCTATTAGGTGCCAATGCTTGCTAAAGAGTTGTGATTAAAAAAAAAAGAGAGACCAAGAAAGCAAGAATATGCCTACCAGATTATCATAACCACAGCTTTGGTGTGTGTTTTATTAAGATCTTAAATGTATAGCTATGTATGCATATATATATGCATGTGTGGATTCATATATGTGTGTGTGTGTATAATGACCTTAGATGTATCAAAATCAAGTACTACAGCTTCCCCAGGATATTAAAACTTGCAATCACTTCTGTTGGATTTATAAAATCAACCTAGACAAATAAATTTCTGCACAGCCAACAGATGCTATTGAGAGGGTCTACAAACACACTACTTTTGCTCTGACATATAAGTGAGAAGCTGACAATGAGCAATAAAAGCTGCATCAGATTAACACTGTCCTGCATTAGTGACAACCGAGCACTGAAGGTGTTGAGAAAGAGGATTTCAACACTCCTGAGAAGGGGCAGAAAATAGTATTTGTAGCACATAGCAGTTTGTTCTATTTTCATGTGGAGGTTAAGATGTCCCACAGTTTAAGAAGGCATTATTTATTTTTTAGTGTGAGGATGACCTCTGAAGTTGAGTGGTCTAAAACAGGAAAACTAGAATCTCATGGCACCTTCTTAGTGTGCCTTTGGCTGATTTCCCTAATTTATACTGCCTTTATAGCCCATGACATGACATCCTTAAAGATTTAACATTGAATATAAAAGAGTTTGTGGGGGGAAAAAATGTGCTGTCATTCAAAAGCATCCCAAACACACATATGGAGCCAGCTACAGGAGCATTTAGGTCAGCTATTAAGTGCATTTTTAATTTTACTTATGCTACATCAATGCATACATAATTCATGGTCACGGCTATTATCCAAATCAAAACAAGCAGAGACAGCCTCTGAGAAAATCTGGTGTGTTGTTCACAGTTTTCACAGAGATTTGGCCTCCCACCCTATTTTACAGCAGGAATTAAAAGGTCTATGTCAATTTGACTAAAGATTCAAAAGTCAATCTATCATCCAGTGTGTAGTTAATATGATTCTAGCATCAGAGCAACCTAGAGGGAAGAACCACGGTGCATCTTCCTTCCCGTGGTGTAGACTGTGCTCTCGCCCTTACATCATCTGGGAGTCCTTCCAGAAACTCTGACCTCACACAGCTCCATCTGCTTGCTCTCCAACTACCTTTCCCTTTGGTTTCCTGTGCTCCTTGACCAAAGAAAGCCCCTAGATGCTGCTTCTGCAGCCCTTTGTCCTCAGAGAATGAGAACTTTTGCTTGGAGATAGTTTTCCATTTGCAGCTCCATGTGTGACTGACAGATAATGAGAAATAGTAAATTGCACCTGAAACTCAAGTGTTGGCAAAATTTGAATTATGAACTTGTTCAGGGTAGTTTTCTTTCTGTTTTCGATACAGGTGAAGACCTTGATTAGATCACTAATTAGGAGGAAGGAGCAACCACACATTTCTACTATTTGGTTTTATATGTGAAGCTGGCTTAGAGTTGAACTAGCTGACCTCTTGAGGACCCTTCAGAATTTGAGGATAACTAATTGCTTCTTGAAAATTTAAGAAAATAGAGTTTATTTTCCTCTGAGAACTCTCCAGATGTGGATATATAATATACTCCCTAGAGATTTACCAAACAAATATCCTAGCAATTATAAAAAAATAAAAATAAAGAGTGAAAACATATTCTGAGCCTTGTTTGAAAAAAAAAAAAAAAAACCTGCAAAAGAGAATTGCCAATTCTTGGCTGCTGGTGTCTTTTAAACATAAACAAATAATACCAAAACTAGCACCTCCCAAATTGAAGGGTACCTTTCATCAGCACTGATGTTCATGAATTCCAAATTTTATATGTCACTAATAATATATAATTATTTATAAATATTTCACTTGAGTATAATTATATACAATCATTAACTGAAAACCAAAACAGGAATGATAGATCGGACCTCTTCCACAGAAGAAAAGCAGAGTCATTTACACACACACAGTCATTAAAGCGAAGGAAGTCTGAGTGACAATCTGAAATCCAAACACTGCTGTGGAACATGGCTGGGGTAGTGCTCTTAGGAAAAGGAGCTAGGTCGCCCAATGCTGCCATCTTCAGATCACTTCTGGTAGTGCATCATTCTTGAAAAGGTTTCAGATGGACAGTGATAAAAGTCTGAAGGAACCAAGTCCCCAGGCATGACAGGACACCAATGAAGTACACAACGGTCCCTTGTGGTGATTCACAAAATCACACCATGCAACACCCTTTTTATGTTTGGTGCTAGGTGCCTGAAGCTCTTGCTAACGTCACATATTCCAATTAAATGTCCAAATTTGTCAAGGAACTTTTGATGGGATAGGAATATACTCTTTCAGTTTGCCTCTTGATGGGAGATTTTACCTCCTGCCTCTCATACTCCCTGCATCCTTTGAAATAATTACATAAATTCTGCCCAAAAGTCATTGTAGGTACAAAAATTGGATTTAAATGGCACTATAAACTACTAGGAGAAAGCTCAAGTATGATTTTTTTTTACCTTCTCCAGAAAATTTGGCTTAAACATGTCATTTAATAGATACCCAAGTGAGTAAATTAGTGATATATTTTCTCTGTCACCTTTCCTAAAAACTTGATCTTACATATTGGTAACATATATCTTTAAGTGGTAATATGCATCATTGTATACCTAGAATTCCATTTTTCACATATCTTGCACAAGGGCAGGAAGCAAGAAGTTGAAAGAGTGACTGAAATGTGTTAACATAACAAAAAGTTATATGTTGGAGCTGGGGTTGTGGTTCAGTGGTAGAGCACTTGCCTCATATGTTTGAGGCACTGGGTTTGATTCTCAACACCACATATGAATAAAATAAAGGTCCATCAACAAAACAAAACAAAAAGATAGTCACTGGTTTAAAAAAGTTATATGATATATTTGTGTGCTTTTCTTATAAGAGAACTCCTCAGGCCCTTCTTTAGATCCTATTTATCCTTACATGCTATCTTACTACACACTTGTGACAGAGCAGTTCTTGTTATTTCCTTTGTATAGTGGTAACACTGAAGCTCAAATTTTAAATGATTTGCTCAGATCCCACAACTAAGGGTTAGCAGAGTTAGGAATTAAACTCAGGTTTCCAACTGCTAATCCAGCATTCTTTGCCATTAGTGATTGGCTGTTACTGGTCCAGAATGCAATCACACTTGCAAAGTAGTTCCTGTTGTTGAAATCTGAAATCGTTCCAGAAGGGGTGTAAATAGCTATAACCCCACTCCTCAAGTGCCCCTGGCAACCCACGCTTCCCTGACCCACTTCTGGATTCTGCCTCCCACACCAGTCCACCACCACCACTACTTCTTTATGATCTAGCAAATAAAGGCTCAATGCCTGTAGAACTGGGACCTCCAGGACACTGCTCCAACACCTGTGTAACAAGCGTTTGTTCTATTAGATGCCCATGTCATAACAAAAGGATAAATCCCAGAAAGGAAGAATGCCACTCAAAGCTGTTCTAACATCGGGGTCTAAAGCTCTGTTCACTGTAGATAAAAACACATAAAAGGGACTCGGTGTCTCACAGCCTCCCTTTCACAGAGTTTTTGGTAAGATTCTCCATCCTCGAACAAATAGCATGTCAAAGTATACATTTGCAAGGTTGTTGAAAAGGTAGAGACTTTCAAGTTCCCCATCTACCACCCACCTCCAGCTACTAATCTGAAGTTTAGTTACATCAAAATTTCCGATTATAAACAATGAGTGTTTTTCTAACTTTAGCCAAGATTCCTTAATCTTGATTAAATTGCCAATGATCATAGTATTGGAACAAGAATGATGTTTGATGGCTAAGCAGGAATCTTTAGAATAGAAATATTAAGGCAATCGAAATAAACATTGGGAACCAAAGTGAAAATGAAGGCTGCATTGCTAGAGCCACATGGGGTTCACTGACTCTGAAACAGCCACACCTGTGCCCCATAACTCAAACAAAACTTCCCACCAGACATCAGTCTTTGCTGCTTTTTCTTCAAGCATTTAAACTCCAACTATTCCCAAGAGTTGTACTTAAAGCCAAATCACACTAAGGTGTCTATGCCTGCCCCAATGCTTTGATTTGCAAAACAAAGGTCCAGAGTGGAAAAATTTTTTCTGGGTCTGAACCTCAAGAGAGCAGAAAGGTGGTTTTTGCATGCTTCAACATTTTACCATACATGTTGCCATTATCTAACTAGTGCCATATCAAATATGAGTGCAAAAGTGGTAGAAACAGGGCTGGGAAATGTGAGGTCTGATCCAGGGCTCTAGTCCCCAGTCAACACTGTTCCTCCACAGTCCTGGGACCACAGCAGCTCTACAATCTCAGGCCACTTATTCCATGCCTTTGAAGCCCCATCTGGCCCTTAGCAAAATGAAGCCACTCCTCAAATGTTCACAGATTTAAGAATAATCTTTGTACAAATTCCAAGTTCAGTGGCCAAATGCCTTGTGGCACTGTAGTTATATCCAGGTTTCTATTCTCCTATTTTAC